CTTTTCTGATACACAGGAACAGTACTATTTATTTTCTAAACAGGTATTCTCTTGTCCTTTCTGAAACTGAAATGGATGGCAGAGCTGAAACACCAATACCAGACTATTCCACCTATTTATGATACCACTGCTTCAGCACCATCGAACAATAAAGTTCAGATTACTAATCATTTCAATCATAATAATCACACTACTCTAGAAGCAGAGATATTGAAGAAAAATAGTATTTGCATTTTTTGCAAGGCAGCATTAGTAGTAAGCAGGATGTTGCACGAGTGTTTTGCTGAAATTATTTTCACTGTTTCAAATAATGGAGATTCTGATGTATCCTGAAAAAGACTGACCTGCAACTTACTGTCAAGAAATTGATAATCAGCTAAAACCACCCTCAGTTTCAATATGATATACCTCCAAATGTGCCAGCTCAAATTGGTCCTCTTGGTCCTTCTGGGCAAAATCCGTCCACAACAATACTTTTTTGAATTCCCTTGGCCAATACATAAGCATGCAGCTGCTTCAGTTTTTTCCAACCCTTGTATGTTTTCCATGTGCTGTCCATCCCCACCAATCTCTACACTACAGTACAGCTGATTTTCCCTGAAAACTATCCAATTTTTCAATTTTCAGTGTCAGAATGTAATGCAGTGGGCTTGACTCCCTTATACAACTTATTTGGAAGAAAGGCAGAAATGCCTCTTTTGGCTTTCAGCAGAGGAGAGAAATACCTCGTTTCATATATGGCTCCACAAGAAGCAAGACAAAAACACCTGCATCTCTATGATCCACAAAACAATTTCTGCTTGCAAGCAGCTCAAAATTAATTTAACTTCTACTTGTTTATTCTATACATGTGCTTAGTATAACTACTACTCCAAAATGGTTCCTCTTCTAGGCCTTTCTGACTGTTGTCAAATGTTTTTACTTCACCTTTTAAGAAGCAGAGAGGAGAGCAAAACCAGAAGGGTAGACAAAAATACAAGGTTCCTTAAGACATCATCACAACGATTAACTGGTCGTGCCTTCTGAATATGCCGTCGACTTTTGTCATAACTGTGTTTGATTAGACAGTCTTTTGCAGCTCATCCAGAAATCATAAAATACACCTTATTCTAAAAAAGAGAGACCATATTTTTTGTAGCGGCCTCCTCGTTTCTAAGGGGAGCCCCAAGCACTTCTGATGGCTACATCCCCAGCTGTAGGACAATGAAAATACAGTCCCTGATGTGCAGGTCTGGAAGCCTCTTTTTTTTCTAACGGCAGCAAGCTGTTTCCTGTGAATATATTTAAATTCTCTTTATTTAAACTAGACAATCTAAACTTCCTACAATCTTACGCTGTTTCTGCACCTTGAATAATGCAATGTAGTGGTAACTCTGGATTTCTTAAACCATGCTATTTCTTTTTCTTTCTGTATTCTCAACTAAAACTGGCTGATCTGCCTGGATCGTTATACCATAGGAACACATCCATCAGCAGAGCATCTAGTCTTTACGGAATACAACCATATGCTCTCTCAACTCAGTCCAGTGCTCATGCACATCAGTATAGCCCTTAATAAAGTTTTATATATTCAATGTCTGGGACAGACACCACTGGAATTAGGGTACTAGTCCAGACAAAGGGACCAACCTGACCAACACTCTGATCTGGAGCTGGGAACAGAAGCTACCAAGTGTAGGATAATTCAGCTGAGGACATATGCTTCGTTCTAGGCAGCAGACCAAGTACGTTTCTCCCAGGGACTGACAATGTCATGAACAAGAGACATTGCTGCCAAGGTGAGGGAATGCATACACAGGGGTGCCCCATATTGCAAATAAGTTAACATTAAGCAGTGGCTTTGTTTCAAGTTTCCTGCCCCATCACGTTATTTCAAGTCTGTGATGATGTGTATAGACATATCCCAAGATCATAAAGAGCAGAGACTATTCTTGGACATCTCTCACACTACTGTATCTTTCCTTCTTCTCAAGGGCTTGCAAACAGCCAATAAATTAGTAGCTTAAGAATTTCCAGTTGAAATACTTTTCATGGGAAGATGATACTTTCAACTAAATGAAAATTGCTGAAGAAAGTTCCTGCTTTCCAGAAAGGAAAGTTTCTTTGTCAGAAACCTAGGAACAGTATACCTCTGGTGTTTTGGTATTTTTTGCTTGGTTGTTCTGTTTTGCTGTATTTTTAGAGACAGACATTTTTGTTGATTTTAGCCAAAATTTCCAGCTCCAGCCAGTTTAATGTTCTTCCCTGTGCCATGTTAATTTTTCTCCCTCTGCCAAAGTGCTTCTTAAACCTCCTCTGACTATACCCTCTTCCTTGAGTTTGATAGCTTTTTCTTCCTATTTTCCCCATTGTTATTTAAGACTGTGCTTTTATTGCTCGACATATTCCAAGAAGCATTTCGGATAAACGCTCTGTCAAAGACACTTATGTACAGTTGAGCCATATTATATTCTATGTAAATCATTGTGGGTGTTTCACAAACAAGGTTACATCAGCCAGATTTTCCAACTAAACTATTAAACATAGCTTTTTCGGACATGGTCTACTATCCCTGTGATTAATCCTCCATATTGAAACTCACCTCATATTTGGACCATGTCATGCCTGCCCACCAGGGACAGGTGCATGCTGCTAACACTTTCTCCTAATGAGGATAACAATCCTACGACAGAGCAATCTTAGCCAATTTTTATCTGCAAAATGCAGTGGAAAGGCTTAACTTTGCAAAGCTTGATGGTCTCTCACCTCCCAGTTTTATTGTCTATGATATCTTTAGACAGAGACCTCATCTAAATGGCCAGGAAAGAGAAAAGTCTAGAGGGGGAAGTAAGCCCTGTTTCACCAACTGAGGACAATTTTGTGCCATATTTTATCTTACACTAATGAAGATTGCCAAGAGCCTGGTAATCAATACTTCTTGCCTGCTTTACTTGATCAGATTGATGGAGAAGCCTAGGGAATATTGAATTGTTTTTCACCTACCCTCTACACTTTCCAAGTGCATCTGCTACATTTAAATATGGTCCTTCAGGCAAAACTGAAATTCCACCTGAGGAAGAGCAGCCTGAGAGAGCGGCCTGAAAAGGGAATTTGGTGCCTGCAATGGAGAAGCAACTAAAACTCCACGGAGAGAAAAAGACAAAACAGCTATGGGGGAAAATGAGTTGAACAAGATGTTTCTCGACAACAGAAAGAAACTGTGGCAGTTCTGATCTGGTATAGTGAAGCAGTTGTGATATGAACAATGTCCTCAAGTGAAAAAAACAGCCACTGAGGCTCCATGTGTTTCCAAACTCACACAACGGATGCTTTACAATGCACTTTTTGTCTGGAACTTGGTTGGGAAAGGAAGGTTCCTCACTCCCTTCCCCACCTCCTATACTAATGCAATAATCTTGCTTAGTCACAGAAAAAGGGAGAGAAAAAAGAAAAGGAGAGAAAGTGATTAATAATCTGTGGGCATCTGCTTACTTTCCAATTGGTTGTCCAGGAGGGGTGTGCTCCACTTCAAATCCTGCTTGTCTCAGTACATCAATCACAGTGTTGTTACCCAGGAAGTGACCTAAAATACAGGTAGAAAATAGCACTGTCAATCAAATGGCTCCTCTCACTCGAGTTTCTCCTGTTGGAACAACAGGTTTGGGAGGCAAGGTTACCAGAAGCTAAACCTGCTCCAAAAGCAAGAATGGCATGTTATGCAATTTGCTGGAATTCAGACTCCATTATTCACCACGCAGCCCACTGCAGCCTTTGGGAACAGTCAGAGGAAGAGACAGCGTACTGCCCGATATGGTATTCTTCCATCTTATTCCCTCCTCCCTCCGCTCACATGGCCAAGAGACTAGGTGGATAAAAGAAAATCTAGATGAATTGCTAGTCTAGGCTTCCACTGTGGCCATTTTTAGCATGTGCATGGACTAAATAAACTTCTAACTAACACGGATATCAGAGTGACTCTGTAGTGGCAAAAAGAATATTACTAGGGCTTTGACTCATGAATTGGAACAACTTACAACCCCAGTTGTCCACCCTACCCATCAAAGTTCATGGACATCTGCTCATGAAGAAGCTCTGGAGCTGCTGTACTGCACGTTCAGTGCTTATCTACCTAAAACGGCGGTGATTTGGGAACTGCTTCATCAACCACTCAGCCACCTGCACAGCACGGTTGGGAGGAGCTGGGATGGTAACCTTATCTCTCCCAAAACACGAAGATTTAGTCCTGTAAATGAGGGCTCTTGGCTAGAAGTGTAAAGGTCGCATTCCTATTCACAGAAGTAACAAAGAGCCCAGTAAGTATTGCGGCATTGAAAGAGTTTGCTTACGGGAGTCCTATATACTTGAGGTCTGAACCAAATCCCACTGGAGTCAATGGGAGCCCTCAAAGGGCTTTGGGTACAGACTCAATAAGGCAGTGTAATCCCTCCAAAGCTTTCAACTTATTGTCAGACTCCCACATTGTTTTCAGGATACATTAGACCTATAAAGTAAGGAGGCAAGAAGTCCACTAAGGTTTATTAAGATCCATGTAGCCCAGTAACCTGTCTCCAACTGTGGCCTGTGGTATATATATATTTTGACACATACATGTATATATTCATATACATGAATGACACTGAGAAAAGACAGAACAATCCTTCTCCATTATGTCCATTAGCTTCTAGCTCTGCACGGCTGTGTGACCCCCGTTTACACCCAGGTCACTGCATCTCACTGCCAGCTCTGAATAGACCAATTCACCACGAACGTGCTCAAGCCTCTGCCTCCATGTACTTTTTGCCCCGTGACATCTTGCAGCAAGGAGTTCCACCATGTGTCACATGTAAAAACGCACTTGTCTGGTCTGCTGCTGCTTGGAGAACACGTGCTTGCCTTAGGCACAGCGTGTGTTTGCAGGAGATGCCTGTAACTGCCCAGCTCCATGGCAGAGCCAAATGCTTTGCCCAGAAAAAACAAGGCACGCAGGACATGCCCAAATCTCTCTCCACGGCCACTGTGTAAGGAGCTGGTGTAACTGTCAGCAGAGTCACCCCTAGGACACTTCAACCATACTTCACAAAGTCACTGTGAATTTGACAGTAATTCAGTCCCTAGTACTCCCTGAGCCTGCATCTCTCTGCTCACGCTGCCAACAAGGGTGCTAATTCACATCAGTTGTGGGAATGATGTAGTTGTGTGACTTTTAGAGCAACTTGCAAGCACTGGTAAGAGCTTTTAGCCAAAAGAAATCTCTTTAAATGATTAAACATACATTTGCAGAGCCCTAGTGTGTTCCAGGATTCCTCCACTTCCTTTTAAGAAAACTCAAAATTTCATTTTCCCCTGACTAACTTACTTACAACAAAAGCCAAAGGAGCAGAGAGCAGTCCCAAAAATGTGTTACACACCCTCAGAGATTCAAGAAATGAGACAATTGTGAGTGATTAACTGGATTTGGTCATATCCTGGTTTTTCATGCAGTGGCCAAGGCAAACAAAGGTCCCCATTCTGTCACTGGCAAAGTGACACTGAGGAACCAAAGTCAAAGGTCTTAAAGTCAGACATGTTTCTGAGTCCGTGGTACATTGCTCTACTTTCCCTGAACCGGAGTCTTTAATGCCAAGAGATTTCTTAATGTAAACAATTGTCCTGAATCCAGCAAATCTTTGACGTCATGACAGTATGAAAGAAACCAATTTTAACTGCTTTAAATCCAGAAAAAAATGTTACTATGCAACAGCTCTCATTCTTCATCCCCAAAATGGCACGACCATCAGCAACACCAGCTCCTCAGCAAAGCCCTCAACTCCTTTCAAGTGATGGATGCAGACTAAAAGGTGATATCTCCTGGACATCCCATTCCTGCCCTCTGTGGGGAGACCATGATGAAAGCTGCTGGCTTGTTGGACTGATGATCTGCTGTGCGGGATGGCAGAAAAACATAAGCACGGTGAGACGCGTGCTTCCACAGGGAACACAGTCACCTTGAGCCATTCAGTCCTCTGCCATATCATTTCTCTTGGTAACTGTCCTCCAGCTATCCAGGAGTTTATGTTGGATTTGGACTGCAATTACAGAGAACAGAGGTGGTTCCTGCCAAGGTAAAACCCACCCACGGGGGGAATGAATGTCTCCAGGAATTCTTCTGAGACCAAGGACTGAATTTCAGTATCACAAATCTCCTTAGCCTCTGCTCCAAGCTTGAGGCTTATTCCTTCAATTTTACCTTTCTTAACGCGAAGGAATATCAGCTTCCATAAAAAACCCACCACCCAACGCCAAATCCCTGAATAAATGAAAATCTTCATTGGAAACTTGAATGTAAATGTAGTTATTTCATTTTAGGTCCACAATTGAACACACACTAAAATATCTTCAATGCCCCAGTTCAACCAAGAGAAAAGAAATCAAAGCAAAAAAAAAAAAAAAATCAAAACCAAAACCCCACTTCAAGCTGACCCCAAACAACTCTCCGTTCCACACACATCAACAGAGCCTGAAGCTTTAACAACCACTAGGAAATGGCATGAGAAGGTCTTTGCAAAGCTTTACCTTTAGACTGCACTCAAAATTTTCCTGTTTGTCTTATCCCACGTACATCTGGGTAAATCACCACTCGTCTCACCATCAGCTTCCCCTGTTAACACATCCTTTCCACTTGATTGCAGATTTTTATACAGGCTAGCTCTGACTTCTACTTGTCTTAACTTCTCCGCTCAGTCAATTCACATACTGCGATTGCTTTTGCATCCGTCTATTTTACGTCACAGGAACGCTGTTGTGGCCAACTCATTATCTCATTATGCACAGTACAAGCAACTCGAAGTCATGCTCTACCTCAGTGATAGAAAAACTGAAAGTATGAATACTCAAACCAGCAGCCTCTGTAGCCTTTTCTACCCAACGTGGACATCTTCCCAACAGCAATCCATGGTATCCCATGTCAAAGAGTTCCACAGGATCAGAGATACGTGTAAGAGGAAGGTTTGAGGGAAAAGGTGGCACTTGGGAGGTCCAGTGCAGGTGGGTAAAGTGAAACATGAAAACACCCTCATGTCATTGCTGTATTTCCAGGATTAAAGAATTTCTGGAGGAAATATCTTGGCTTGCCTCCTGCTGCTAAGTCCATCATAATTATCCTTCCCAGTTTTAAAATCCAGAAAAAGTTTCTATACGAGAAATTTTTTACATAAAATGACTCTCCCTGGTCACTTATAACTTGGGATAAGCATTCACTTGTTAGATATTGACAACAATATATTACTTTTGACAGCTTATGACATGTAATGAAAACAAACCTAACCCGTACAGTGGAGACAGTTAAGCTCAGCATCAGTGAAGAACATCAAATCCCTGCCATTGGCTGCCCATATGTGCAAACAGAATATGTAGTAGTTATCAGATTTTTTTTATAACATCAGTGGATTTAATTTTTTTTAATAGATACAAAATAAATGAACTTTTTATATACATATGCTGATAAAAACTTATAAAAATTTTCTGCTTGGCCTGGAAATTTTCATTAAAAAAAAAAAATTTAAGCGTAACTATTGAAAAAGTTAGTGCGTCTAGAGACATATCAAACAGATTAGAGAGACAGGGGAATGCTCTTGTTTCTCCATCAATATTCCCTCCTCCATCTAAACCCGAATAAACTATTCCTGCAGTATTACCCAAATTTACCTTGACAGCTGATGAAAACTGGATCCAACAGGTCAGAACACCAACTGCCTCGGGAAATCCATGCAAGTGTGGGAAAAGGAGAGAAAGCAGACATAAAAGATTTTCTAGACAGGGACTTGAAGTGAAAGTCTGTACTTGAGCATGGAGATAGGCAGTACAGTCTCTCCTAACAGTTTAAGTTAAAAAAACACATCAGGAAAGGTGTGGATGCAGTCCTTCCACTCTCTAAGGATAAGGAGATACTCATGGGATTTGCCTGCAGACAAGACCCAGCGCTAAACACAGTCATTTCGCAGCCTGAACACAGATGCAGTGGAGTGGCTAGCATGGCTCACGGAACGCGGGGGGAGCTTCTCTATTAAATTTGATGAGGCCAAGATTATTCTCCTTTCACTCATGTCTTGTTTTTTCGAGACAGAGGATCTGGAGACACTAGAGGAACACGTTATACAGCATGGTTGCTAACATTAATCAAACATCTTCCATCCCTGGTTTGCTTTTTAATTTTTAATTAAGAACTGTGCTTTGGACTACACAAAGCAGATGCATGTAATGCATTTTTTTATCTCCCCAAGGTTTCATTTTTCACTGGAAGAAAGAAAGACTAAAATACTTTGTTTTTTACTAAAAGGTGAAAAATACTTGCGCATGCACATGCACACACACTGCTGAAAAAATGCGTTTTCTTCCTTTCTTAGTGAAATACACTTCTCAGCCAACTCTAACAGTTCCAGCCACGTATTTTCTAATTGACCACAGAAACGAAAGCTCTCCTTTACCATTTCAGACGTTTTGGTGACCCCATCAATAGCATACCTAAGCACAAGGTTGCATTCCTCCAAAGTTAAATGAACTTGGGTGTTCTTACACAGAAAAATACAACCTTGTTTTGATGACAGA